TGAACTGCATCAGCCCAGAATGTTTGAGGTAGCCCAGAATGCAACCTCATGCTTCTAGCTCGTTCATTGATGGTCCGGTTCATCCGTTCAGCAATACCATTCTGTTGTGGTGTGCCTGGAACTGTCTTTTCCATTCTGATACCGTTGACAGCGCAATACTCCTTGAAACCTCCATCAATGTATTCTCCTCCATTATCAGATCGTAAGCATTTCAGCTTCAAGCCTGATTCAGTCTCAACCATAGCCTTCCATTTCTTGAATGTATCAAACACATCAGATTTATTTTTCAAAAAGTAGACCCATACCTTTCTGCTAAAGTCATCAATAAAAGTGACATAGTACCGAGAACCGCCAAGAGATGCTACTGGAGCTGGTCCCCATAAATCTGTGTGCACCAGTTCTAGTTTTCTTGGTCTTAAGGTCCTGCCAACCTTTAAGAAACTGAGCTTCTTCTGTTTTCCGAGAACACAGCTTTCACAAATGTCTAGATCAACATTTTTTAATTCTGGCAGCTTTCCCTTTGACAGAAGTATCTTCATCCCCTTTTGACTCATATGGCCGAGTCTACAATGCCATAGCTGCGCCTGATTATCTGCTTCAGTAGAGGCAATTATATCTGCTGATCTTGTGGTCATATACAGGGTGCCGGTTTTCCTTCCACGAGCCAAAACCATTGCTCCCTTTGATACCTTCCACATTCCTCCAGAGAAAAGGATTGAATGGCCACTATCATCAAGTTGTCCGACCGAGATCAACTTCTTCTTTAGTTCAGGAACATGCCTTACATTTTGCAAGTTCCATGTAGATCCATTCATTGTCTTGATTTGCACATCTCCTATACCCACAATATCCAATGGTTGTCCATCGGCCAGATAGACTACCCCATAATTTCCAGCAGTGTAATTTTGCATCATTTCATGGTGTGGAGTACAGTGAAATGAAGCTCCAGAATCAAGAACCCAATCATCAATAGGACTATGTACAGCAAGAATCAAAGCATCTTGTACCTCGTCTGTAGTGGCGTTTGCAGAATCAGCTTCAGGTTTCTTTGGTTTTGTGCAACTCCTCATAAAATGGCCAGGTTTGCCACAATTCCAACATTCAACCTGCTTCCTGGGTCCAAACTTGCTTTTGCTTCTGTACCTGGATTTTGATCTGCCTCTGGATAAGCCTCTGTCTTGTCTCCTTCCTCGAGTGTTGATGTTGAAAGCTGAACCTGAACTTGAGCTTTCACCCGAGTCTTTTCTTCGTACTTCTTCAGCTAAAATCAGGTCTCGGATATCATCATACTTTAATTTGGATTTTCCAGCTGAGTTGCTTACGGCTGTTCTCATACCTTCCCAACTGCTTGGAAGTGAAGCTAGCAAAATAAGTGCTCGGATCTCATCATCAAACTCAATTTCAACGGATGACAATTGATTTGTGATGGTGTTGAAATTATTAAGATGCTGTGTAACAGAGGTGCTTTCTGTCATCTTCAGGTTGAACAGCTTCTTCATCAAGTGCACTTTGTTATTTGCTGATGGCTTCTCATACATCCCAGACAAGGCTTCCATCAATCTTGCTGTGGATTTCTCTTTTGTAACATTATGAGCAACTCTTCTTGACAATGATAGCCGGATAATGCCCAAGACTTGTCTATCAAGAATTTGTCAATCTTCTTCTGACATGTTTTCTGGCTTGCTCCCCAACAGAGGAAGATGAAGTTTCTTCCCATATAGATAATCTTCAATTTGCATTTTCCAATATCCAAAATCAGTTCCATCAAATTTTTCAATTCCTGCAGCCTTTATTTCATCAGCCATTTTTACTCTTTCTCGGATTTGAATCTCAAAAATCTGACCTTACAGATGTGTCCGGAATGGCCAAAAATGCTGGAAACGACACTGAGATCACCTAAATCGGACTTCGGATGGCTCCGATTTAAACAATCAAAGTTTGGGATAACTGGACGCTGCAGATGAAGCCACGTGGCAGGAGGAATAGTCTGCGCCACACCGGATCAAAACCCAGTTATGCTGACGTGGCAGATGACGTGGCAGACACGTAGGCAATGTGGGGTCCACACAAATCTGACGTGGGAGATCCACGGAGATTTTCGGTTGACGTGGCAGTGCTGACGTGGCGTGGATGACGTGGCTGCTTGACCGGTCAGGCGGATGACGTGGCAGGGGCGCGCGGCTGCTGACTGTGCTGGATGGCTGACGTGGCTGCTGACGTGGCAGTGTCGATTTGCAGGAATTGGCGAGGAAGACGCGTGACGCGCGTACGGCGCGTCTGTGCGCGTGGGCAGTACTGGTGGTGGCGCGTGCAGGCGCGTGCGGGCATGCAGGACGTCGGATTTTCGCCGGGTTTTCACCAGTGGATTCCTCTCGTCGTCCTCTTCACGGTGGTATGTTCAAAAACACGTTTTGAGAACTTTGATTTTTGAGTTTGGATCAAACACCCTCTTTTTCAAGAACTTTCAAGAACAAGCTCTGATACCAGTTGATAGGAGATCCAAACATTCAAACACACACAAATTTACGTGGTTCGGCAACTTGCCTACTCCACGGAGCTACTGGTTTGTATTAATCAAGTTCAAAAGCAATACAAACAACAAAATAAGGAGGAGGAGAAAACTTCTCAACTCAACTCAACTCTCACCCTAAGCTCTCTCTCTGTGTTTCTCTCTGTCTCGTGGTCTATCTCAGCTATCAATACATCTTCTATTTATAGCTGAGGAGGGAGATGATTGTTCAACAATGGTGGGCAAGTTAGGCACCTACCATTTGACTATAATTTCAACCATGGCTGCCACCAACCATGGCTGCCACCTACCATGGCTGCCACCTACCATGGCTGCCACCTACCATGGCTGCCACCGTCCATTTGTGTCCACACACATAACATCATCATCCAGTGTGGTTGAATGCTGGAAAGATTTAGAGGTTTTACAGGCATAACTAACATTAAAATCGTCTCATTTGACCCTTGTATATCAGAACTAAGGTCAAGCATCTGATGGTTCGAAGCGATTTTAGGCCAAAAGAACTATACATGATCACACTATTTTAAAATTGAAGATTTCAAACTGAAGATCAATTTAAGCACTAGCTAGTTTTTGTTTGATTTGTTTATTTTTTTCACTCAGAATCAATGAAAATTGAAAAGTAAAACCATCGTCTGATTAGGCTTTTGAATTTGAAAGGGAAAGCGAGAGAAAAGTAAGAAAATGAAAGAAAATTTGAAATAATTTATTGGGATTCCTTGACGAAAGTTGTTAAATTCTCAATGAAACAACATCATTTATTGGGAAGAAAAAATAATTTACATGTGAGTTATGATGGATAGAGATATTTGATTTATAATTTTATGAAATTTAAGGGTGAAATTAAAATATAAGTTTGGTTATTGGCAAAATTAAAACATCTAGATTGGTTATAGCAATTTTTTTTAGGCTTGCCAAAGGAAAAAAAAAGACTTTATGATCTAAAATGGTATTTGGGAACGTGATTTTAAAATTTTTTTGTATGTTTTGAATCATTTTGATTTAATATATTGATTTTAAAAATAATTTAAAAAAATAAAAAAAATATTATTTTAATATATTTTAACATAAAAAATATTTTAAAAAATAATTATAATCACGCTTCTAAATAAACTATAAATAAAAATAAAAAACTAAATTTAATTGCATCTTCTTCTTCTTTTCTATTTATGAGCACAGGAAAAAAAAAATGTCGCACGACAACAACACTTAAGTCTATCTCACATATTTTGCCTTACCATTACTTTCCTGTGGAAGATGATCTAATGTTAAATTTATGAATTCTTATAGTAACAATAATTCCTCAGTTATTTTTATTTTCAACATGTATACGAAGAAGCTGCAGGTATAACAAGAAGATACCATCTAATACTACACACACACACATTAAAGCTTATTGGGCATCCCAACCGAGCTGCCTTCTTTTCTTTATCTTCTTTTTCTTTTTTATTCTATTTTTTTTTTTCATGGGTCAGCTCAACCATTGAGCTCCACAACACATGGTTATGTGAGAGTCAATCAAGTTGAGGGTCTAACCGAGCTATTGTAGCTCACCTTGCTTTATTATTTATTACTCTTCATGGATAGTAATATGTATGGTATTATTTATAAATAGTATTTTTTATGTATGTAATTTTTTATAAGTTTTTTTATGGATATTTTTAAACACTGAAAATTCTTATGTTTAGAGAGAGAGAGAAAAAAATTGATTTGAACAATACTCTACACTCAGACATGTCTTTTTTAGGAATAAAAAATATATTTTTTTTTATTTTTTTACATGCTTGTTACATGATTAAATAAATTCAAATGTTAACTCGAGTATAAAAATATATCTCATTTCACAATAAATTTATTTTGTAGGATGAATATGTTCCCAAAATTCATTAGCTAGGGATAGTTTATTTTTCTGTGAAATTTTTCAACAACTTGGTCACAACCTCAACCATATCTCTAACTAGTGTTTATAGTTGGCTGGCAGCAGATAATCTTAGCTAAAACATCAGCCTCAGGAACAACGGAGTGTGACATTATCGCCGGACAAGAGTTGCTATCATGTTTCTTGTTTTGAAATGGACTAATGATGCTTTTTAATCCACGATAATCAAGGCTTGTCCTCGTATAATTGTGATTAAGACACGTATCTTACGTGAGCAAAAATGATAGTGATGGTGGCACGTGAGTAATTAGTGGCCAAAGTAAAAGGGAGTCAAATGAAGAGAACAGGGCTGGGTTGAAGCCGCGCATCGGAGCTCTCTTCCCTTTGTGGTCGAGAAGGAGAGTTTAAAAAGGTTAATCATCAATCAATCCCATCAGTACCTTTTATTTCCTTAAAGACTGGTAAGATTAAAAAAAAAACAAAACAGGTTGTTTCTTTAATAAAATAGAAACAATACCAAACAAAAATCATAGATTGACGCAATCTATTGATTAGAAACCATGATCTCCTTATAATTAGGCACAGTACTTTCCATGTCCTTACAGATCCCCGGCCCACCATTCCTCCCTAATTTCCGGCCCATACTCGGCCCATATCTCTCTCTCTCTCTTCAAAAAACCAAATCTCCCACTCTCTCTCTCTCTATAATTTTATTCACCTCTTCTCTGTCTATCTCCCTCCCTCCTCTCTCTCTCTGTAATGGAGCCTCCTCCATGGCTGGACGATTTAGCCGACGACCTCCAAAGCATAAGTTTCACATCCACCGCTACAACAACAACAACCACACTCCACCGGAGCACCAGCTCCGGCTCCTCCTCCGCCTCACTCACTCCTGCTCCCTCCACTCACACATCTTTCTCCTCTAAATCCACAAGCAAACACTCCCTCTCCCTCTCCCTCTCTGATCTCCGCTTCTCCCTCCGCCTGGGTTCCGGCGACATCGGTTCCGTTTACCTAGTCGAACTCAAAGCTAAACCTAATGAGAAGGAATCTCAGGTTTTTGCGGCGAAAATCATGGATAAGAAGGAGTTAGTTAGCAGAAGTAAAGAAGGAAGAGCGAGGACTGAGCGGGAAATACTTGAAACTCTGGATCATCCGTTTTTGCCTACATTATACGCTTGTATTGAATCTCAACGATGGCTATGTTTGCTAACGGAGTTTTGCCCCGGCGGTGACCTTCATGTTCTCCGTCAACGCCAGCCTCTTAAACGATTCGAAGAAACCGCTGTCAGGTGCGTGCGTTAGCCTTTCCACTTTTATTTGAAAGTACTAAATTTTAATATTTTTTTCTCGATGCACACGTATTCGGGAAACAGTTAGAGGAAGGGGAGTGATAGATCGGGGAGGTGGGGACCTTAAACCTGAAGAAGGCACGGTGCCTTCTGCGGACATGGACCCCGCTGATTGGTTACCGTGTCTTTCATCTTTTCAGTTACGTACGTAACCAGTGCTGTGAGTGAACAGGATTTACATGTCTTTGTCGTAACGGAGTATTGTTTTTTGTCGGGGGAGATGATCACGTGCGGGTGCCGTCCAAGTAATGATGTTTGACTTTTCGCCTTTTAAAATTTTATTGGGTTAAGAGTCAATCAGGAAGTAAGAACGTAATTTACGTATTATTATTAACTAGTAAGTAACTGTCAAACGGCATTCTTGAATAACTTCAGGGATAAATTAGATTAGTATCACTTCCTTCCCTCGGCCGTTAAGGGATCGTCATCACTGGCTATGCTTCTCTTTTTAGTTATAAAACCTAACTCGTGCTCATGTTTTTAGTTATAGAACCTTCCTTCTCATGACCAAGATTTCAGACCAGATTAATTCCAGATCTGTTTTTACAACTACGCTTCTCCTTTTGCGCTAACAAGTATTTTATATGGACTTGGTTTACTGTACCCATCAGTTAAAAGCTATTCTAATTAAAACGTATTAAAAAAAAAACATTTTAAGAATACAGACAAATGATTCATAAATATTTTTAGAGTCAGGTTGTTTTTGTGTTTTAATTTTATTTTTTTGATTTTTTTTCAACTTATTTTTTGATTTTTTGATTTTTTTAGATCATTTTAATAATATGGTGGTGTTAAAAATAAATTTTAAAAATAAAAAATATATTATTTTAATATATTTTTAAATGAAAAATATTTTAAAAAATAAAAACCTAAACAGGTGGGTGATGCTTTTAAAATTCTTTCTTTTTTTATGTAAAATATTTAGCAATTTTTTATTAGAATTTCATGTACATGTTTTGATACCATGTGCCAGCTACTGGATAATAATTGATAAAGCGTGGTGGTTTTGATTTCATTAATTGAGAAATTTGTACCGGTTGCAATTACTGTCGCAATTGGTTGTTTTAAATTTAGTAGCTAGCAATACCACCCGTCTTCATTTTGCTTATAATGGCGGCAATTGAGTAGCTTGGACATCAATTGTCGGACGTGTATATGTACATGGATCGATGTCACCAAATATCTGCATGACAAAAGGCCGGTTGAGGTTATCATATTATAATAATGGTGTCCTATCATCATTGTTGAGTCCATGTCATGTTTGTACAGGAAATGTACGTTTTGCTTTTTTAGGAAAAAAATCGTTTTCAATTTTAACCTCTTCTTTTTCCAGCTTTCTGAGTCTATCAATGCTAGGAGTCGATATCATTGTTTTTAAAAATGGTTCCTAACTTCAATTGTATTTTTATAGAGTAGGATGTATATCATGAAAAACTTCAATTTCGTTGGAGAAAATTTACAAGGAATGTGAGATGTTAATTCGATACAATCTAAGATTTCAGTAAATATTCTGTCAATCTATAATTTATAATTTATTGATAATTTTTTTATTAATAAAATTCCCAATAAAAACTTTCCGTCAGCTTTTTTTAGTCGGTAATATCTTATTCCATTACTAAATCAGTCAGTAAAAAAACAATTATCAATAGTTTTATATACAAAAATTGCACACTAAAAAAAAATTCTCACTTAAAATATACCAACGGATGTATTCCATTGATAAATGTATGAAGTACCGATAAACTATTTTTATCGGTAAAATCATTGGTGATTGTGAAATTTACACTAAGCTATTTTGAATTCCTTAATAATTCCGTCGGCATTTCAAAAGGATGAATCGATCACATTACCATACGGAGCTGTAGTTTTGAATCCCTCAATGATTATGTCCAATAAAATCACCCACAAAACCTTCACATCAACAAACTGCTTTTTTTTTTAATTTTGAATATTCTATTTGTCATTTTGTCGGTAAATACAAATCTAATATGTTTATCGGTATATATTAATGGAATGATGAATTGAAAATTTTTTGTTAGTAATTATGATCTTAAAATACTGATAGAAGTATTTTGTCGATAAAGCTATTAGTATTAAGTGAATTTTTAGTAGTGATATTGATAAGCATGACGTATCTTTTGCTGAACAAGAAAAGGGATTTTAAAAAAAAAATGAATGAGAGAAATTCACGAGGTAGTTGATAGTCCATGGAAGAATAGTAGTGGTTTCTTCTTTTGCTTTGGTGAATTCATGTATGAATTTTGTGTGATGTTCTATGAAAAAAAGTTTGCTCTTATTTGGAAGAAACAGAAAGAGCTCCAGGTTATCTGAAATTTGAATACTCACAGCTTCCGTTATCTTTCGCTGGCTTTCTGGGTTTTCTTCTGAGACTGCATCCAGTGCTGCTGAGTGGTGGCCCCAATTTTATCTCATTGCTTTTTGGCCCTTTGTTCCACACCATCTGTTATCAAACAGAATCCTAGCTATCCCTATCCTCTCAGTCATTTCATGTCTCTTTAGCTCTTACCCTTTGTCAATGGATATAAGAGTAGGTGCACGGAGAGACCAGTCTTTCCCTTTGTCAATGGATATAAGAGTAGGTGCACGGAGAGAACAGTGAGAGGTTTTAGATGACAAATTATCCCAGAAATCTATTACTAGCTTGAAGAAAATACTGGGTAATAAAGAAGAACAATTCTTAATGTAATGAATTTGTAAGAATTCTTCTCTTTTTATTTATTGAAATGCAATGATACATAGAAAGGTAGGAATAAACAAAAGTTCTGACATTGTACTGAAAAAGAAAAGTAAACACCAAAATACGAATGTGCAAATACTCAAGGACATGTTGTCAGAATCTTTATGTGCTTTTCTTCTCCGCCATACATGTCAAGATATTATACTTTCATTGTCTCCTTATTCGCATGAGAGTGTAGATACCGTGGACGTAGGTCCCTGGTCGTTGGGGGGGTATGAATCATGAAACAAAAAGAGAGAGAAAATATTAAATATTTGTGAGGTTTAATGATATGATAATCAAAGCCTGCAATTCCAAGATACCAATATACAATTTAGCAGCAGTAGGTCCTTCTGCTCCATGCTTAGGAGTCTTGCAGCATCTCAATTATTTTCTTGCTCAAATGTATCATTACATTTGCACCAAAATATTCCAGGCACTTATCATCTCCCTTTTTTTATGAACTGTGAAGTCCTCGGTGGAACCTTACTTGAGATCGCATTGTTCTATTTTGTTTTTTCCTAATCTTGATCAGGTTTGCTTCGTCAAACAGAGGGTTAACAAAGAAATGGTTTCTTAATTAATAGTAACTCAAGTGTTCTGTTGGTGATTTTTCCAGGTTCTTTGCATCGGAGGTGATTGTGGCTTTAGAGTACCTTCATATGATGGGGATTGTTTACCGTGATCTCAAGCCTGAAAATGTTCTTGTTCGATCAGATGGTCATATAATGCTCACTGATTTTGACCTCTCGTTAAAATGTGATGATTCTACGTCAACGCCTCAGATCATCTCCGACAAAAACCACGCTGCTGCAGCCCCAAAAAATGACTACCGGGTTGAGCATCCTCCTTATACTTCATCTTCATGCATTATTCCCAACTGTATAGTCCCTGCTGTTTCATGTTTTCACCCAAGACGTAAACGCAAGAAGAAGATGGGCAACCGTGGTGGGCCTGAGTTCGTAGCCGAGCCCGTTGATGTTCGGTCCATGTCATTTGTTGGGACCCACGAGTATTTGGCGCCGGAGATTGTATCCGGCGAGGGCCATGGTAGTCCTGTGGATTGGTGGACACTAGGAATATTCATGTTCGAACTATTTTATGGGGTTACGCCTTTTAGAGGTGTTGACCATGAGCTAACCCTGGCTAATATCGTGGCTCGAGCACTCGAGTTCCCTAAAGAACCAGCTGTGCCTGCCACAGCCAAGGACCTTATTTCGCAGCTACTGATTAAAGATCCGGCAAGACGAATGGGTTCCACCATGGGTGCATCGGCAGTCAAGCACCATCCTTTTTTCCAAGGGGTTAATTGGGCATTGTTGAGATGTACACCTCCACCATATGTTCCTCCACCATTTAATACAGAAGTTGTATCAGATGAAAGTTGTCCTGAGACCCCTGTAGAATATTATTAGTAATTTGAGCAAAAGAATTAATAAATACCTCTCACAATAGTCTGGTCATTTCTTGATTATTTTTTAGCCGAGATTGCTGAGCAATAGCGAAGCAGTTGCTTATTTCAATATTCTATATAAGAAATTATGCGGTGATTTGCAAACCTTTCCATTTTCACGGTAAATGCAAGTGTCGGAAACTTTGGATCCTGACATTATAAACATTAAGAATGGCATTGACTTCCCAGGGCAAAGCTGGTGGCACCGCGTGATAGGTTGTCCACGGGGTCCCTGGGGGCATGGCCAGCACCAGGCCACGAGGGAATGGTTGCTTGGTTTTGGGTGTTTTGTTGTGGAGACCAGATTAACCTCCGCCCATGTGATTTGCTGGGGGTTTAGGAGAATTTTCGTTTTTTTTTTCTGATATTTAAAGGTCACATGATTCTTGCATAATAATTCTCCGGTGAGGTCTAATCTTCTTTATCATCTGAGGCACCACCTGTTTAATCGGGGTTATGTCCGTTAAATGGCGGTGCTATCTATATGCAATGAAGTTGAACTGTTTTAACATTCTGTGCATGATGCCGAGCCCTCCCTTACTGTTACATTATCTATATATTTACTAGATGAGTTAGAATAAATTTAAGATGGAAGGATGTTCTAAGAAAAATGACTTAAACCACATTTTAAGAAAGAATGTAATAAAAGGTATAATTCATAAATTAAAAGTTAAAATTTTAACTTTTGATTAAATCAAGATTTTAAATCAATTTTATAACTAGTTTTTAATTTATGTAAGAAGTTAATTTTTATTTTAAATCAAGTTTAATTTATTTTTATTTTTCTTTAGTTAAAAGTTAAAAAAAAACTTAAATTTCGTACCCAAACATAACCTAAATATTCTATGATTTTGTAATTTTGTTATTATATTATTGTGTTTTTTATATAAAAATAGTCGTAGATATGTACGCAACAATACAAAAAACCTATCAATATGATTCTTTCTAAAATTTCTTATGTTTCTTTCTTTTATCCTTTTTTAATATATACATGTGTGAATGAGAGCGAGCATGTTAAATATGAAATTTCAAGTATTACGAATATTTAATGAAATTAATATATATATTCTTTTATTTATTATCATAGATTTTTTATATAATTTACTTAAATTATATATATATTATTGAAACTTTTATTTCAAACCATGATATGTTTTTATTTAAAAAAATATTTTTAATGGAAAAGACATATTTTCATCAAAATAAAAAAGGAATACATGAATAAAAAATATAGTTTTAACTGTAGAAATACATTTCTCTCCCTGATTTAAATTAGTAAAATTCTTATAAATATTTATTTTACTTGTCCTAAGTTTTTATTGAAAAAATAAAGTTGCTAAGAAAAAATACATATTTTTGCTAAAATATGAAGTAAAATACATGAACAAAAAATAAGAATTTTAACTAAAAAACTATTTTTTTTATCTTGAAAGCTAAAATCATGCACATATTTATTTTAATTATCATACAATTAAATAAATATAAGTTTTGAAAATGATTAGAATTAATTATGTTCTCCTGGGAAGAAAATAAGCCACGATGTGTCATAGGAAGGAAATAGATACAAGCCTCGTGCTTTTCACGAGTTAAATATTAAAAAAAAAAAACAACAATATACACAAGTTTTATTGACACTTTTTTATAGTTAAAAAATTATAATTAAAAATTAAATAAATTATACATATATATAATTAAATAAATCCAAAATTATATGTATTAATAAAAAAACGATAAATAACAGCTAAAAATAAAATTAAAAAATAAATATAAATTAATATATTTTATATCGCAAAATATTCTCCCGTTGTATTTGCTAAATTTATTTATAAAAATAATTTTTATTTTAAGTTTTTTTATTAAATTTGTTTATCAAACAATAATAAAAATTAATAAATATATTAAATTAATTGAATAAAGCATAATCCTGTATACGAGCTCTTTTTAAATTTATAATACAATGATTTATACTTTTTAGCTATTTTTAAACTGTGAAGTGTTTCAAATTTTATTTATTTATTTATAGATTAATATATTTAAATTTTTCTCTCTCAAAATCATAAAAATAAAATTATTTATCTATATGAAATAATAAAAATAAAAATGAATGAGATCTAAAAAGTTGATAATTTATTATTATTTGTTCATTTATGATTCATCAGTTCCCACTCCCTTGTACCAGCTAAAAAAAATAGGTGCATAAAATAATTTGATGATCTTCATTTCTTAAAAGTTATATATTAATATCTATAAGGTTACTCGTAAACCTTGCGTAGTAGAACAAGCTGTGAGAGCTATGGGCTAAAGGATCCACAATAATAAAAGGTAAATATTCTTTATAGTTGTGTTTAATTATAGATAAAATTTAATTCAATAAACATGAAAAATTTCCTAATTATGAAAAATAAGCTTAAAAATAATTTTTTTAAAATAAAAACTAAATTTTACATATAAAAAAGTTCGAGAATAGAATTAAAAAATAATATAATTTCTAAAATTATTTCAAGTAAAATAAATAAAAATAAAAATAATACAAATTAAATGTAATAGATAAAAAAAAATTAAAAGAAGATGAAATTAAAAAAATAAAAATTTTATAAAATAAAAATTTAGATGAACATAAAACAAAAATAAAAATTATATTATTTTATTTTTTTATGTTCATCTCAGTGAAAAAATTTAGATAATACACTAATAACAAGTTTTTTAAAATTTTTTAATAAAAATAAAAAAATACTTTATAAAATAAAAATTTAGATGAACATAAAACAAACAAAACTTTAGAATAAATTGGTCAATTTAACTAACCGGCTGACCAAGTCGGTACACCAACCCCCGCGCTAACCGAAAACTAAAACCCGAGAAATTCCCAGCCTGCTAAAAACAATAAAAACTCTCACTCCCTCTTCTACACTCTT